TGTGTGTGTGTGTGTGTGTGTGTGTGTAAGCTATCTTGCTGTTTATAACCATGTACTTTGACAAATGGATAAACTCTCTACTAAGTATTGTAATCTCAGAATATGTGGTAGAAAAGCCAGTGCATTGTAGTTTAAGGCATCTGAATTTTATTCCTAATTCTATTAGGATTTTGTCAACTTTATCTAAATTTCACATATTCCTTATCAATTTCCCACTTCGCGGAAGGAAGATTAGGCAGTCTTACTTCTGTAGAGATACCGCCTTGGAAACCCAAGGAGAGGTTGCTATGAGTCGAATCTACTCGACAGCAGTTGAGTTTGGTTTGGTTTGGTTTGGTTAGGTTATCTGTTTCCACCTACCTTTTGGTTAACAGCCAAACACTTAGCCACTGTGCCACCAGGCCTCTTTTCTTACTGATGTTTCTGTTGTTAGGTGCCCTCAAGTCAGTCTCTCAGTGCCCTGTGTACAACAGAACAAAACACTGCCCAATCTTACACCATCCTCACAATCTTTGCTATGCTTGAACCCATTGTTGGCAGCCACTATATCAGTCCATGTCATTGAGGGTCTTCACCTTTTTGCTGACCCTCTACCAGGTATGATGTCCGTCTTCAGGGATTGGTCCCTCCTAATAACGTGATCTAAGTGTGAGTAATGAAGTCTGACCATTCTCGCTTCTAAGGAACGTTCTGGCTGTACTTCTTCCAAGACAGGTTTGTTTGTTCTTATGGAAGTCCATGGTGTATTAAGTATTCTTTGCCAACAGCATAATTCAAATGCATCACTTCTTCAGTCTTCCTTATTCATTGTCCAGCATATGAAACTATACAATAAACAGTGACTTGGTACAGGCACACCTTAATCTTCAAAGTGATATCTTTACTCTGTAACCCTTTAAAAAGATCTTTTGCAGCACATTTGCTCAGTAGAATCCAACGTTGATTTCTTCATTGCTGCTTCCTTGGGTGTTGATTGTGCAACCAAGTAAAATGAAATCCTTGAAAACCTGCCTTTCTCTGTTTATCATTGATGTCATTTACTGGTCCAAACCAGAAAAACCAAA